AAAATTTTCCTGGAGGGAGGGGCTCAAAGGTTTCTGGGGGGAGGGGCTGAGCCCTCCCAGCCCATACCTGGCTCCACCACTAGTTCAAACACCTTTATTAAAAAAAACGCTTTTTCACAATAGCAACGCGCTGAAAAATATGCGTTTAAGTGGGTGTGGGGTGTGGTTGTGGGTGTGGATGTTCTCTTCACCAACCCCCATTCACACACACCCACGCCCACACCCACACCCACACATCCACACCTACGCCCCACCCACACACTCACACCCACACACCCACACCCACACCCCGTCCACATCCACACCGAACTTATATTCAAGTCAATCATACTTCTTCTAAGCAATTGATAAGTTTAACACTAGCAGTTATCGAAACGCGTCTTGCTAGCTATACTTGATTGATAATATCATAAACACACCCACACTCACACCCACACCCACACCCACATCGACTAAAATGTAGTTCAGAACAATCACAACTACTATCTGTGAATTTTCAAATTATTCGAAAATATAAATGTATAGATGATTGAGTAAGGCACAGGAATAACACGTACGTATATGAAGAAATTAATATAAAAAATGGGATTTTATTGAAAGAAAAAAGAATGATGAATTTTGTCGGAAATTAGAAAAAAAACTTTCGTGAATGGTAATAAGGAAATGTGTCTTTTAATTTCGAGCGATCTCTGCATAAATCTGAACGAAATCAGCTGAGTCTTTTAATTCTGTGAACCTACCACCCATTTTTTGGTTGATTTCCTCTAAAATATCCATTTGTGTATAGCCAAATGCAACAGTCCAAAATTGATGGATTTTTGTTTTCATGGTTAATAATGTTTCCAATTGCTCGTCAGGATAGTCTGCTTGTCCATCACTCATAAATATAATTGTAAAATCTAAGCTGTTAGCAGAGCTAGATATCGAATTTGGAGTTTGTATGTCTTGTATTGCTTTAACTACTAAATCAAAGGCTTTGCCAAAATCGGTCAAACCATTTGTAAATTTTATTTGAATTATATCGATTGTTTTGATGTCAACATTAAAATAAGCATATTTTGCATTATCATCAAATACGATAATTGTCATACGATCTGCTGCATTCGAATCAGTGCGGATCTTAATAAACTCTTTAACACCTTCTAGTAAATTTTCCCATGGTTTTCCATTCATTGATCCTGATGCATCAAGTAATAGTATATAATGAAATGGTTTCGGAGCCGCTTGTGGAGTGTTTTCTGTTACAAATGTCATATCATACCTTTCACATAAACGTCGACCAATTTTACTCCATACATTGAGAAATTTGCCACGCAGTTTGAATAATTGATTTGGTGTAATTGAGTTACCAAAATCCCAATCAGGATGATCTTTCTTAAATTCAGACCATTTCTTCTTTGTGCCTAGAACTATAATTGGTTTATGATCTTCCATTTGTTCACATTGAAATAACGATGCTTCATTTGACACCTCAAATTTAGTCCCAGCCATTGCTCGTAATTGATGACCAGTTTGACATGCATGACGATTATCTTCGTTGCCTAAAGTCATAATAATGAGGTTAAGACGCATGCAAAGCGATAAACACCAAAATTTAAAAATAAGTAGAATAACCATCACAATCATTATGAAAAATCTCTCTATAGAAAACTATAATTAGAAATGACATCTAACTTTCGCTTGAAGAAACTATTGTTGTGTCCCTCGTTCAAATATGTAACTTCAAAAAATCTCAGTTTTCCTCAATGAGGTGAAAAAAAAGAAAATTGATAAATATCTTGATACCTGGATTGGATTTGATCAAACTATGATCAACATCACAAGGTCTTTGGCAACAAGGACATTTTGAAGTACAACCACGTGCTCTGTCCAATAATTTATTGTAAGTTTGATCTTTATCAAACGTTGCAAATGTGGCTGGAGTATTATCGTAAGAATTTTCAACTTCACTTTTAACATCCATAATACTTTTCAGAAAAGTACGCAGATTTTTTATCGAAGCAATTACCATTGGATTATCATTAGATTTAACAACATCACTCATGCCTTTTATTAAGTTTGCCAATTGTTGAGTTGGTGGTGGTAATCTATCAAATAATCTTAATCCTTTGTCTTTCAAAGTATACTTTTTATCAAAAACAATATAAGATGTTCCTGCTTGGATTTGGTTACCAGATAAATATGCGCATAATAATAAAGCCATACATTGACCTTTATTTTTTAAATTATCTGCAGCAATACCTCCTGATGCTTCAAATACGTCTTCAATAAAAAGTACAGATGAGCCTTCGCCTTCAAGTAAAGATATCATAAATTCAATACGATTAAAAAATTCTATTAAATTATTTCTCCATTGATTTTTTTCTTTCGCTAATTGTTGATTAATTGTTTCTTCAGCTGCTTTCCATAATTCTCTGAACTCTTTAACGATAATATCAGTTGGTGCAACAATATAACGAAACAACCAGGAATCTTTTCCTGATGTTGTAGATAAATAATCACCTTTGTTTGATGCGACAGCTAGTGATTCATCGCCTTCTGATGCTGCAGCATGTAATTTTCCATCACAAATTGTTTGAATATGTTTTCGATTCAAATTTCCTTGTGCTTGAATCATACGTGCTATAATTTTTTGTCCATCACGCATTAAACTCGATTGAATAGTGTTTAGAACCTTATTTGCAAAAAGCTTTGCTCCTTCTATGTCGCAATCTGCATCAGGTACAACCATACCGATAAAATAAGTTAATAATGATGATTGTTGTTCATTTAGTATCGATAGTTGATGATGAAAGTGAGTTTTTTGTTCATCATAATAAATTATTGTCAAAATGATCAGAATGAAAATATGAATGAGTGATTTAGCTTGTTTTGATAATAATAAACTAAAAACAACTAATTCTAGATTAGACTCGTTGATATGTGTATTAATCAACCCGACAATTTTTTGTACAAGATCAATTTCGATCAGTCGGCGATCTTGATCATTTCCATGAACTATGGTTATTGTTTCTTTCACAATTTTTTGCAAGAATTCTGGAATATTTAATATATTCGACTTTGCGTTTGGATTATTGGTCATTTCTGTCATTATTGCATCATGTACTGCTTTGATAAAATCGAACCGTAATGGTGCTGCATTGTTAGTCGTTGGACTTTTATTTGTCGTTTTTGATGATTGTGAAAAACCCAAAAAAGCTGCTCCAATTTTCCAAGCTCTCTTAAAAATATTGGTATTCGAAGATTTTGTTGTTCCTTTTTTATGAGACTGTTCTTCTGGTTCATCTAAATCCATTGCTTGTATTCTAGAAGCTTCTTGCTCCATAGTTGTACCTGCTGTATACAAATCATTTAGTATGTCCTTACGCAAATGTTTAAAATTATGAAGCGTAGCCAATGTGTATACAACATTCGTATCCGACTTGTTTCTAGACAATTCCAAAGCACTTGCCGATAATTTAGACAATTGGGCAACAAAATAAACCTGTACACCAGTGATAACATCATTTAGATTTTGCTCTTTACTCAAGTCATTAATGAATTGTAGTTGACTAAGTACGAACTCATAAGATGGTAGAGATTCCTTTTCGAAAATATTATAATTTCCATAAACAAACTTAATGGCTTGTCTTAATCGTTCTTCTGGTTTAAAATTATTTTCAATTGATTCAACCTTTCTCTGCCACATGCTTTCAAACACTTGTTTTGCTTTTTCTTTAGTCATAGTTTTTCCACTTTTGATAATATCACCAATTAGGTTACGGAGATCGGCAGAGCCATCTCGTACAAGACTTTCCATCTGTTTTTTATCGTGTGCTTGTATAGCTGCTGTACACCATGCATTACAAATTTCTGTTATTTGTCTTTTCAAAAATTGTCTACATCTGTCTCTGATACGATCAGACGCATTCGTAACTTTGAAAAGATTTTCCAAATCATTGTCGAAATCATTTTGCTGAACATCAAATTCAGCATGAAAATTGCTCCGTATTTCATTCTCGGTTAATTCACATGTGTCTTTAATGATTCTTTCTCGATAAGATGTCGATAATTTTTTTGATATAAGATCACCAATTGCTTTTCGTATTTGATCATCTTGTTGACGTTCATTAATATCTTTAAAATATGTTAAATCTGGAAATTTCTGTAATGTATCGAATATATTTACAG